CTGGATTATGATCCAAGAATTTACATCTCTAACATACTGTCATTTTCTGTGTACTATATAATGAATTACTCACACTTTAGTGGCTTAAAACAATACTATTTATCTCTCAGAGTGTTCTGGCCCAAGAGCCTCCTATCAGTGGCTCTGGTGCAGGATCTGTCCTGAGGCTACAGTCAAGATGTGGCAAGAGCCATATAAAGGCCTGGCCGGAGGAGTGACTTCCAGGACGGCTCATCAGCATGGCTGTTAGCAAGAGACTCAGTTCATGTAGGTGGGCTATCCAGGGGCTGTCTCAGGATGCAACATCCCAGTTCTCCCAGAAAGGGCCTTTTGAGAAAGACAGACAGAAAGCAGGAAGCCACAGGACCTTTTGTGATTGGAATCCAATGTTGTACACCAAGACTCCCATTTAATTATCTGCTTCCAAAGCAGGTCATTAAATCCAGCTTACTCTCAAAAGGGATGGTTCTGCCTTTAGAAGAAAGGAGTATCCAAAAGCTGGTGGGCATTTGAAAGCCAATACATTAGGTATATTCCTGGAATGGCTGTAAAAATGTTCCATAAACTGAGGGGTTTAAACCACAGAAATCTTTATTGCCTCACATTTCAAGAGGATGCAAGTCCAAGATCAAGGGGTCAGCAAGGTTGGTTTCTTTGAAAGCTGTGAGAAAGACTTTTCTGGGCCTCTGTCCTCTGATAAGCTATAGGCTTTCCCTAGCTGGCAGATGGCTGTCTTCTCCCCGTGTCTTCATATTGTTTTCTCTATGGGTCTGCCTCTGTTCCAAATTCCATTTTTTAAATAAGGACTAGCATCATATTGAATTAAGCCACATCCTAATACCTCAATTTAACATGATTGCTTCTCTAAAAACCCTATTTCCAAGTAAGGTCACATTAGGAGGTAAATGGCATCTGGAATTTAACCACTTTTTGAAGAATGTGATTCAACTCAATTCAACCAGCGAAGGCTCCACATTGTTGAGAACCCACTGGTCACACCAATGAGAAATGTAGGGAGCCCATCAGCTAAATATTAAACCATTAAATATCAAAGAGCGAGGCCGTGGCAGGGCTTGGTTGAGAACTCTGATTTCATGAACCACCCTGTTTGGTCATCTTTGATCCTATGCTCTCTGTTGATCCCAGTTATCTGTGGAACCCAGTAGACGTGTACATTTTTTTTCCTGGGCTAAGGATTTTTATATTGATCCGCAAGGCTCTGCCACTCCCGGGACACTTTCTAGGAATCCTTTAAAGATGGAGGGCATCAATTTTCTGAGGACGACATGTAGTATTTTAGCTATACACACATTGGTTTGGAGGAGAAGAGAGTAGGGATGAGAGGTGGCAATAAAGCAGAGAGAGGAATAAGAAAATGAGGTATAAGGAATTTGGGGGAAAAATAACAATTATGGCAACTTACATGCCACCCACAGCCTGCCACCCCTTTCAGTGTGAGTCAGGGTGAGACAGAAGATGAAAATAAATACTTCATGTCAGATGTAAGATCATCCCTCTTTGCATCCAGGCCCTGCTTTGGATACCCAAGCACCTGGATGCTCAAATCCCTTATATAAAATAATGTAGTATTTGCACACAGCCTGTATTCATCCTCCCATATCCTATAAGTCATCTCCAGATTACTTATAATACATAATACAATATAAATTCTATAACTGTTGCACTGTATTAAGGAATAATAACAGAAAAAAATATTCATGTTCCATACAGATGAAATTTTAAAAAAAGCTATTTCTGATCTATAGTTGGTTTCATCCATGGATATGAAACCCGCAGATATAGAAGCCAAGTGTATACTTCTCAGGCCTAACAATTGACTTCTGTGACTAATAAAACAAGTGGTCAGAAGTATTTGAGGTTGGTTTGAGACTTATCCCCTTCCATTTTCTTTGGGGACTTATTTAATTTGGGGCCTTTCTCCCTTCTTCCACTATTTGGGTGAGGGCAGGGGAGGAGGAAGCACTAGGAAGATGGGGTTTTAAGAATGCCTGTATTGGGGCATCAGTGGGATCTTCTTTTGTCAGCCACAGCCAGATGAGTCTGTATCAGTATTATTTCACCACCAAACTCATAGTTTTCCTTCTACTTAAAAGGCGATTTCTTAACCTCTTTTAAAGCAGTAAAGATTTTGTAAAAACTAAATATAATATTCTACCTGTGTACTTCCTCCACCAATTCTGAGCCCCAAAATACCATTAAAGAGATGGTATAAACGTCATAAAGGATCAAATTACTACACTTCTACTATGGGAACTGAAGTCTTAAATCTTAAAGAGCCAGCATTTGGCTTGCTGGAAGCAAACAAGATCTGTTGCTATAGGATACAGGTGACAGGTCACAGATTGTTGGGAACCTTAGGCTGAGATTGAAGTGACAGTGAAAGCCAGAGGGAGTCTACAGAGGTGCATCAGAGGCCTGGGGGTTGACAGGATGGGGGATTCAAGCTCAGAACATTTGCTTTAACAGATCAATTCTATTTTATATGTTGTATACTGGTTACACGTAAAAGTTGTGTGCGTGTGTGTGTGTGTGTGTGTGTGTGTGAGAGAGAGAGAGAGAGAGAGAGAGAGAGAGAGAGAGAGAGAGAGAGAAAGTCCAACTGCAGACACAATGCATATGTAGAGTTTCAATAATAGTAATAAAACATCTATGAATCCCAAGATATCTACAGATAGAGAACACTGGCATGAAAACTGCCCTCCTCTGTGCTTGCTCATGTTTTCCCTTCCCTGCCTCTCAGGGGTATTTACTATCCTGAATTTTTTATTTACCATTCTCTTATTTTTCTTTATGGTTTTATTACCTAGTGGTTAAACTCTTATGCATCTTGCTGGGTCTTGCGTGTTTTTGAACTTTATGTGAATAGGGTCATATTTTGTGTATGCATATGGGAGTCTTATTTTTTTCCTCCACCTGGTGAAACTCATCCATAGTCATATGCGTAGTTGCAATCCACTTGTTGTCATTACCATATGGTGCTCTCTTATTTATCCTCCTATCAACAGATAGATTATTTTTGTTATTATAAAAACGTTGCTATGGGGGCTGTAATAAGCCAGGCCTCAGCACTCTCCACACTGGATCTGAGACTCCCCTCCTCCTCCTTTTCAGTTTGGTTTCCTGTCTGTCCATTACACAGGGAAGCAGAACCTTCTGATAAAGACTGGGATTAATAACTGAATGAAAAGGCTCTGATTTTTCTCAGTCGCCTGTAACTGGTGCTGTCCCTCCCCATCAAAGGGTTGGCCTTTTCCTTGGTATTGCTCTCTTCTTTCTTTGGGCAGCCCCCACCTACCTGCTACTCCCCAGGAGCTGAGAGCCAGGGCCCTCTTATATATGCCTCCTAATGCAGTGCATAAGAACATATGCAGGTTATATATCTAGGCATGCAGTTGATGGATTGTTGGGTGTGCTCATCTTAATTTTAGTAGGTCACTGACTAGTTGGATCATTTCATTAAGATTCTATCAATTTACACACCAGCAGCATCTAACAGAGCCTCCTACTCCACATCTCAACAACGCTTGATGTTTGTCCAACATTTTGACTCTCTTGATATTTATATTACTTTAGAACCAAATTTCACATTGTACATGACCCTATTGTATTAGAATTTTGGTACCTAGGATGATGATCTAGGCCTATGACATAAGAGGGGCTCAATAAATGAGAGAAAAATGAAAGGAATCCAAGTCTTAGACATCTGGTAAACCAGAAAATCATCAATCTATAACAATGTATTTGTTCACAAACTTGAGACTACACAAGAAATTCAAGGCAGCAGTGTAAGAGTTGCCCATAGAGGTGGACAATGTACTATATTTACTTTACTGATAATAGTAAAAGACTATAACATAAATTTTAGAAAAATAAAAGGAAAATACACAATTCGTCACCCTAATGTCAGTCAGAACTACATTCTTATATGCTCCAACATCAATTTTTTAATGGTTTAAATTCTGCTTTTGTATACTTATTTAGTGTTTCCTATTTGGTTAAATTTCCACCATTAACATTTCATTTTTTTTAAAAAAATGTTGCAATATGTAGGGAACTGATACTTAAATGTACATATTTCAGTGAGCTATAAAGCCTTGGTTCCCACATGTTAGTTCATGGACCTCTGACAATTGCTAAAGAAATTTTCATTAGGTTAAAAGGTTATAAAAAAAAAAAGAACACTAGGATGAGTTCTTCATACAAGTAAACGTATTACATTTAAAGGATTGCTCTTTATTCTGAAATTATTCCATTTCTACTTTTTAAATTTTTTTTTGTTGTAGATGGACAGAATACTTTTTATTTTTATATGGTGCTGCTGAGGATTGAACCTGGTGCCTCACACATGGTAGGCAAGCGCTCTGCCACTGAGCTACAAGCCCAGCCACCCCACTTCTACTTTTTTAATGTTAAAATTTTTGTGCTTTGGGAGATGATACTTATAAGTAGATGGCATGTATTTTCTGGACCACTTTATATGATTTCAGACTTTCTGTGAATGTGTATGTTTTAATTTTACTGCTCCTTCAAATCTAGATATTTGGAAGTCCTTTTAGAATGGTTTACTAAATCACTTTATTTGTATTTGATAGAAAGTACCCTGGGAGTTACTGTCAAAAGCGCACAAGTTTCAAAAAGCAAGGCATATGGGCTGGGGTTGTGGCTCAATGGTACAGTGCTCGTCTAGAACGTGTGAGGCACTGGGTTCGATTCTCAGCATCACATAAAAATAAATAAATAAAATGTACTGTGTCCATCTACAACTAAAAAAAAAAAAACAATTAAAAAGCAAGGCAAACTCATCTCTATTTGGCAACTACTCACTTCTGCCTGATTTCATTGAGGCTCAGTACCAATGCTATAAGGAACCCTCTGCAAAGACTAAGGCAGTGTTTGCTCTCAGTCTGTGTTATAACAGTGTGGGAGTGAGTGCCAGGGAACCTAGATCGGTTTGGCAGTTGCTGGAGATGGGTCTTTACCTGGATCCTGAAAAATGCGGAAAGTTAGGAGCCGAAAGCCCATTCTTGGAAGGCAGACAGGAACCAAGACTTGGTGTGAGCAAGGGCTGCGGTGCGGCCCCTGGGTGTTGGAGAATGAACTCCCACCGAAAGAAGGCAGGTTCGGCAGCTACAAAGGGTGCCTAAACGCGAGGTGCAGGGAGACCCAGCTCGAGGAGCAGCAATGGGCCTGGGACGAAAGACTGATTGAATTGTCACGCGGAAGTCAGTACCAAAAAGAACAGGAGAGCCCCTGGACTTGAGCACCTGAAGAGGCAAAGGGGCCAAAGTAAACATCTACTAGCCACTCCCACGAAGGGGTCGACACCGCCCAGGGGGTGGAGTCAGACACGCCCCGCGGGCTCATGCACCCAATCAACCGCGAGCCGTCTGGGGCCGCAGGACACGCCCCCGCAGCAAATGCCGGTTAAGCTCCTCCTCGCGATAGCCGGGGAACCCGGCGCCCGTCCGCGCCTGCGCAGTCGCCAGGCCCCGCCCCTCGCCCCTCCTGCCGGGGTCTCCTGCCGGCAACATGGCAGCTTCCTGCGTGTCCTGCGGTGGGACGCTTTCCTACCGCCTCTTTCTCGTGGGTAGGGTTAGCCTCGCCCGGAGGCAAGGACTTTGGCAAACCGCGGCGGCCGGTTTACAGACAGGTGCCGGATCCCAGGTAAGGCCTGGGAGAACTGGAGAAGGTGGTCATGTGAGGATGTGCAACCGGCGCTGCCACCCGCGGCGTCTCTCGTGTCCCCAAGTGGGGACTTTAGGGTCTTAGATATTTAGTGGAGCCTGAGTTTAGGACTGGGGAGGTGGGTATCGGCTTGTAGCGGTCCCTCTGGAGGTTGCTTGGGGTATTTGGGAATGCAGTAAAGCAAAGTTACCTTCAGACGGAGCGGGAGCGACCCCTCCTTGACTTGCTGAAGAGCCGAGGTTCCGTGTTCTGTGTTTAGGTGTGCTGTTGGGTCCAGAGGGGAGGAGGGCCCCACCACAAGAGAATGGAAACTGGACTCTTGCAGTGGCCTGGAAGATTAAATGGAGAAATTCACACTGTGGAGAGAACAGCAACTTTTTAAAAGTGTCTTGCAACTGCAGTTTGATTTCTCAAATTTCCCCACACCTTGTCTTTGGAGAGACAGAGGCCAGAATTTGTACATTCACTTAATTCCGAGAGTGGTGGGGAACTGTCATGCTAGCTAGCTGGTTCGCTGACTATGCCAGTTCACTGACAGCGTCCCAGGAGAAGGAACCAGATTTAAAAGGAAAGAAACGAATTTATTTTTGGATATAATCGTGTTTTAGGTATCTGTGGCATTTCCAACTGGAGATTTTCACAAGGCCTATAGATATGCCTGTCTATAACCCAGGAGAACTGACTTAGAAGTCCCTTGTTACATTGTAGAGGGACAGATAGTAGCCTAAAGGACAAACAAATCAGGAATTGGCCCCAGGAGATTTCAAATAAGTAGGAGTAAATCAGTGTGGTGTCATGGAAAGCAAGAGAATGCTTGAAAGAGAGAAAGTACCAAATATTGCAGAAAAGCCAAATACTTTGTCCCAAAATCTATTTTGAAAAAAAAGAATACTATTTTTTTGTATATTCTTTGTATTCTAGCTTAAATAAATCAGTCCATTCATTTATCCATCAAACTTTAAAAAAATTATATTGGAAAATATGCTGGAAATTTAAATTTTTCATGCATGTCTTGAGTCTGTCTTTCCTGTTTGTACATAAATATGTATGAAAGGGATCCTAGCATACAGAATATTTGTTTTTGACAATGTGTATGTAGGAGATGGGAACTAACTTTCTTTACCTTCCCCACAACTGTAAACAGTCTCCTTCTATGTATTTTCTCATGTTTTTAAAATCATGTATTAATATGTATATCAGATCACATTCCACTTTTTTGCTTTTCTAACACGTGGTAAAAATTCCATTAGGTCACTTACATCTGTAAAGCATTTTTAATTGCTGAATTATATTCTGATATGAATGTATTAAAGTTAATGTAACAATTGGTGGGCATTGGCTGTTTCACTTTGTTCCCACAGGTTTGCAGTAAATATCCTGGTCTGGTCTTTAGGTTCTGATACTTTTATTTCTGTGGTAGAGATTTCCACTTGTGAGGTTATTATACGAAGGATGCATACATCTTAAATTCTAATGGATTTTTCCATATAGATGTACAAAAAGGCTATAGTGGTTCACATTTTATCATTATGAGAATGTCTCTTTTCTACCTACATCAAGATCAATTGATTGAGTGAGTGGAATGAGATGGGTGAAGACTGATTTCTCCTAATTTTGATCTCCCTGATCACTCTTGAAACATAACTCCCCCCACCCCCAGCGGCAGATATTTACTGATCACATCACCTGAGGTAACCAATATATAATCCAGTAATTACCTGAAAGTAGCAATCTTAGCACTTTCAAGGAATGGCTCTGAGAAGGCTGTATCTCAGAATTCCTGAACACTACCACAGCATATGTTTTACTATATGGGGTACAGCTCAGATATAACTGAAAAACTTAACTGACCTCTTTAGATCCTTAATGATTCCATGTATATAGTTAAAGCCATTTTTAAAGCTAATTTTTTTCTGTTATTGAGTTCATCTGTCTTAAATATTAATATTTTTAATATTCATATTAAGAAGCACCTATTGCCATGTTAAATATTAATAGCTATGTTAATAAAATTTTTATTTTTACTCACTTCATGAGTGACTAAAATACTTAATGCTCTCCCACTTTCTTTTCCCCGAATTTGGGCCATAACCTGTTAATTATGAATTCTCAGAAGTTCAGACAACTTGAAAGGAGTAGAGAAAATAGAATAATTTATAATTAAAGTGCATCTTATACAGTTAAATATTTTTGCATTTTGTATATGTGCATTAGTGTGTACTAGGTGGTTGATTATAAATATTTACATAACTAGGTCACAGTCAAAAAGTTTGAGAAACATTCATACAGCAAGAAAAAAAGAAAAGTTTTGTTAAACTGCAACTCCTGGGTTCTTAGTTGTGACCCTCACTGGCTGACTTCATCTTGCTCACCAATCTAGTAGGATGTGTTTCATATGATACCTTAGTACAATACCAAATAATCGGAGTTTCCCAACTTTTGGGTCAAGTAAGTTAATTTTGTGAATGGCCAAACTTTTCAGATAATATGTCTGTGAATGTAATGTGAGATTGACAGAGATCAATATAGAAGAGCACAGAAGTGCAGTGCCTAATGCAGACAAGAGCTGTAAAGGATAGAGACTGTATGGGCAGCATCCCAGAGCAAGTGGTGATAGCAAAGTGGAGCCATTTGCAGCTATTAGGTGATAGCAAAGTGGAGCCATTTGCAGCTATTAGTAATGAAAAAATGGAGGTATTCTGCTCTAGAAATGTAAATAGATGCATAAAGGTATAGAGATGTGTAGAATAATAGTGGATTCTGGCAATAACTAATATTTGGTTATAGCTTAGTTTTGGTTACTGAACCAGGCCATGCAATATACCTAATCATTGCAGGAAGAGTTTTGCAAAAGAGAGGTCATTCACCGGGCAGCCAAGGAAGTGAAGCATCTCCCTAGGATAGGGAGATAAAGAAGAGAGTGGTCTGAGGTTTGGGGAAAACTTATTAGAGGTAGGGTATAGTGAAATAATCAGTGTTCTATGTATGCTTAATCAAGTTCATGGCTCTTCATAGGATACATGTTCAAGAATGGCGGAGTTGGAATGCTCTGAGGGTAGAGTTTTGGCCCTCTAATGTCAAAAGTTGATCTCTTAGATACTTGTATTAGGTCCAAGGGAAGGGTGAGTGGTTTCAACCCATTGGAGCTGCATCCAAGTTTTGAAAAACAACTTAAGTAACTGTTGCCATTGTGAGCCTGGTCAGTTATCTATAGAGAGCTAATGGGAATATATTGCTTAGCAGTGTGACCTCTAAATTGGTGATAAAAGCAAGTGAAGCTAGAGAGTTTTATGCAGGCTTTCTCTTGGTTTCAGTGGTAACAAAAGGATTAGAAAGTTGGGCAGGGGACAGAGGTGATCTGCTTTGCTATGCTAAAGTACTTGAATTTTTTTTTTTTTAACCTGTGACAAATGAAAATAGCTCTGGCATTATTATAAGCAGTGGACAGTTCTGTTTCATGATGTTCTACAAAGATTACCCATGAATTCTTAAATCCTCTGTGACTGTAATAACAGTAGTGCTAATTTAACTTTCTATATATTTATGATTTTTGTAAATAAGAAAAAATAGTAACAAATTGCTGTTTTGAAATTATTGCTAGGATATTAGTAGGGTTTTTCTCTTAATTTTTATTTTCTGTACACTTGCTTAATGCTTAAACTTTCAGTTTTTAACCAAGCCAATATGCACTCATTGATTTGAATTGTCTGCCAGAGAAGAATGATCAGTGATATTTGATGGCTTAGCTTTTGTATATTTTGATTTTACTGTAAATACTATAAACATATTTCTGCCTTTTGTCTGAAGTATATTCTTTTTTTTTTTAAATCTTTGATGGATTCTGGAAGTTATTACATTCTGTAATTATCACAGTAGCCCTTTGGTCTACAATAAAGGCTTAGTAACTTTTTTTTGATAAATGTCTAAAAAATGTTTTGAAAAACAAATTTTAAAATTGACTTTCATTTTTATCAAATGCAGTTGTATAAAATGCAACTCTGTAAATTACTTATGACCTCCCCCCCAATAATTGTTGAAAAAAAAATCTCTATATATTTGATCCTAGTTTATTAGCAATGGAAAAGAAAACCCCTTGGGTGGGATAAGTTGCTGATTTTGGGATCCCAGCTTGTCTTCATAATGATAGAATTTTATGTGATCCTCATTGCTTTAATTATTAAAATACCTCGACCCTAAAATTTTCCTTAGGTAGCAATTTATAAATTTCTTATTTAAAGAAAACTTGATAACATATGTAATTATCATCTCCATTTCTCTTTCCCTTGTAAAACAAGATAAGTAAACTTCCTTTTATTGTGCTTCATTATTGTAATTAAGATGATGAAGTAATTATTTAGAAGCTTAAAACAACAGACATTTGTCATCCCACGGTTTCTGGGCATGCAGAGCTCCAAGTCTACCTTACTTACTCTTTGTGTCAAGGGTCTCTCATAAGACTGAAGTCATCGGTTTGCTGTAGCTACAGTCATCTCAAGTCTCCACTGAGGGAGAATCCACTTTTGAGTTCTTACTGTAGTCATTATCAGGATTTGAATTCCTGCAAAGTTTGGTCCTGGTTCTTTGCCG